GTGTAAGCAAATAAAGGAACTTTACTCGACTGGACTGTTTCACCGTTGTTCTTGGGCTGGGCCTGACACATATACCTTAATGCACAAATACATGGTTGAATAGATGTTTGTGAAATTTGTTTGTTTGTTTGTTCGTTCATTCATTCATTCTTCAATTTGTATACCAGCCCATTTCAACAAGTGATTCTGGCCAGCGAACAAAATTAAATAAAATAAAAACAATTACAGCAATACAAAAATTAAAATAGATAGCAGCTGAGAAAATACTCCCCATAATCATGAACACAACCAAGAAACGGATGCCTGCACGCACTCAGGGGCCCAGCCTGGGCACAGAGACAGGTCTTTGGGGCCTTACAAAAGGCCAGTAGGGTTGGAGCCATCCTTACCTAAAATTTCTTACCTAAAAGTGAAGAGAAAGGTAAAGGGAGGGGGGAACTGAGCAAAATGAAACAAGCCTTTTTCCCTGTGGTGCCCGCCCTCTGGCACATCATCTCTCCAGAGATCAGATTGGCCCCAATGCTGCTGGCCTTGCGTAATGCCTCGAAGACCTGGTTTTGTGCCCAAGCCCGGTGCCTCAGTTGTGTGACAGAGCCCGTCTGCTGGTTGTGTTAATGGCTGTCTTTTATGATTTTCCTGGCTGCTGTGTGTTTCTATTTTTTTTGTATATTTTATGTACAACGTATTTATTGTAAGCCAACCAGCCTCATGTATTTGAGGTGGGCAGCTGTTTAAAAAAAAAAAAAAAGATTAAACAAATAATCCTGGAGAGCTGTATTGATAACGTGTGTCACTAGAGGGGGCGGTGTGCTAAAGATAGTGAGAAAATGATTGCAAGGTTATTCAACAAGTGACAAGTCTCACATGATTTTGGCAAATTTCCTAGAGATAGAACCCTGGCTTAATCTTTTCCTAAAAATTTAAGACTTGTTTAATGTAACTTATTTTACTGTTTGTTTATTTATTTATTTGTTTTGTATACCATAACACAGTATCAGTGACTTGACTTAATACAGCCTTCTCTTTCCTTCCCCCTTCTTTTCACAAAGACATCATGGATACATCCATGTTGCGTTTTTTGCAACAGTCCAGAAGTGTTTGTTGCCATTCCCATCTTGTGGGATTTTTTTTTCTATTTCCCAGCCTGGCCTCTAGTTCTGGAATTCCCTGGAGATCTCTCATTTAAATCCTAAGGAGATCCAGCGCTGCTTAGGTTCTGAGTTCAGATAAAGTTGGGTAGTGCTACCACCTCCTAAGACTCTATTTGGTTTTCTTGGCTTTTTAATCACCTGACTGAGTGGAGAAGTTAACTTCAGGTTCAATCCAGTCAAGCTTAATCACTTTTTACTATCAGTGTGACATGAGAAGATGTGCCTCACTGTCTTTGATTGAAATGTATAGGACTTCAAGGCAAAAAATGACAGAAGTATTAGGTGATCCATCCAGTAGACTGCTGTAATAATCCAGACATGAAATAATCAGGGCAAGAACCAGCTGCTTTGCTATCTCTGTGACAAGGAACCAATGGATCCTATGAACATTCATTAAATGAGACACATTTCAGAAGTTCTGATACACTTTAGGTCAACTTCTCCTGCCTGGTCCCTTCCTACAGCTGCCCTCAGCCCCAGTCAATCCTGGCCAAGCTGCCTGGCTGGAGTGGGGATTTTAATCCCAACACATCTAGAGTGCCCCTAGCCGAGGCGGGCTTCCATGGGTATACTTTCTCATAAAATGGTTAGCTGAAGAAGAATCAAAACCACAATTTTCCCTTTAATCTTATAAAATCATTATATCTGCAGGCTACTCGGCACTTGTCTGCTGCGTTGCACAGATGCATTTTGGTATATTTATTAAAGTTTTATTAGCGGGCTTCATCATCTCTTAATGATTTCTCCTCGAGCCAGTCCCATTTCTTTCCACTTGTACTTTAAAGCATTCACTGCACCTGACCTCCCTGTAACCAGGGAATCCTATCTCTTGCACATTAAAGACTAGGCCCACACTCCTATGTCAGTACGCTATAGAAATATGCAGCATTTTCAAGCATCCGTGATATGGGGAAAAGACACTAGTGCAAATATCTCTTTAAAGACTGAGAACCATTATTTGGTAATAACTTGTGCTAAATCTAAATCTTCCCCCCCTTCCCCCCTTCCTTCCTTCCTTTCCAGTGAGAGGCTAGATTCACAAACCATGTGAAGCTGTACTTGGATTGTGATTCGCTAAATAAACTTCAGTTGGCTGGGTTTATTTATAGATTTATAAAGCTCACTAATCCAAAACCAGAGAAACCAGAGTCCTAACTGTAGGTAGAATCAAGGTCCTTCCTTAAGTATTTGAATACTATTTCAGAATTGTACACAAGGAAATAGATGAACTGATTTAATGTAACAGTGAAATGAAAGCAAATGCACATTTCTATTTCTAAAGTCTATTAATCCTAACCTACTTTTGAAAGCCAACAAATAGAATATCTCAAGTCTAAAAAAGGAACTCTATTCCGTTATTACACACAAAAGAAAAAGACTGTCTTTAGGGCATAAATAATAGAAGGTTAAATAATACACATTAAAAAGTTGTTTTAGAATTCCTGGGAGAGGATTAAACTTCAGGGCATGACCCTTCCCTCATCACCCTTTAAAGATTAACCTATAAAATCAGGGTAATTGTGTGCCATAGGCAGAGAAGCAGAGTAAACAAGTTTCACCCGGTGTTTGTCTCTGGTCTCTGCAGAGCAGATTAGCTGCAGACAGTCAGAGCCAATAAACCAAGTCATGTGCTCCCTGGAAGGCAAAGAATGGAAGAATCCACAGGATCACTAGTCAGTTTGATTAAGATAAAATTTCCTTCTGACTTCAGACGGATGAAAAATAACGTCACATGCCAAAAAGCAGTGAACATGAGCACAGTAATACTGAACTAGCTTTTATAAGAAAAGCGTGTCTTGTTATTTTTAAGGAGTTTGGTACTGGTGCTTCATTATATTTGGTCAATATATTTTCTCTCTAAATCAGGGTTTTTCAAAACCTGTGACTCCCAAAAGTTTGAAAATGCTTCCTCCAAAAGCACACTCTGTTGGATCTGTAATTTTTACTGTAGCAGATGCTATATTTATGGGGAATAACAGTATTTTATTTAACAGTCTTTAAACAATATAGCTTTATTTAATCTTAAACAACTTTATTTTTTATCCTAGCCTTGAACAGTTTTAGGAATACAGCTCCTAATATGTCATTCTAGCCCAAGTGTTGCCACTAAACTTTAGTTTTTCTGTATTTTACAATAGTAAATTTGGCAATTTTGGCAATAGATGAAATCTCAAGTGTAATTGTGTTTTATATGCCTGGGGGACAATGGATCTTAAAAAAAAATTATTACTACTAGATTCCATTGTATAATCCTCCAATTTCCAATGTTCAACTGAGATGAGTAATTTAATTACTCCATAGTTTAGAAATACTTTGATTAATTCATTTTTAAACAGTACTTTTATCTATAAATTATTTTTACATTCATTTCTTGGTCATTGGCTGAAATGGACTTAAAGGGAATGTTATAAAGAGTTTCAAGCAGACTCATCAAATTTAAATCTCTTCTCATACTTTATGACTTTTAAGAGAGCTTATTGTAATTTGATGTAAACATTTTGAATAGTATTTAATTAATAGGGTTTTTTTTTAATTATATGGATATATACCATATAGATTGTACTTATTTTATTTGAAATCAAGTAGGAATATTTGTTTGAAATCCAGTTGTGACAATTCTTATGCAGAATATGTTAAGAAGAAACATGTTTCCCATCAATAATCAGTAGTCTTCTATTTTCCTATTCCCTGAATTGTTTTTGACCCAGTTTGGAATGGAGTAAGTGTCCCTAAAATAAATTTTAATCTTTGGTTCTCCCTTTTTCTTTGAGAAGACAGTTGAAACAACTACTCAGATTAGGTGTAGTATGTACCTAAAAATTACATCAAGTAAAATTATTTTGATAGGTACATTACAAAACATATTTGTGAAGACCAAAACAATCCACTTAGGTTAGACCTGTGCTGGGTGGGTGCATATTGTATGACAAATAACTCAAAGCCATTTAACTTTCATTTGAGGTCACTGGGGGTTTTAGAGACATAATATATTTATGGCTTTGATATATGATTTGTTCTAAATTCCATACTTTTTCATAATAAAGTGGCTATATATAGAGTTTTAATATAAAAGCTGAAAGGAAACAATCTCAACAGTGAGTTGTCATTGTTACAACTAATTAATTAGTATATCCTAATTACAGCTCTTGTAAGGAATGTTTTCGCAAGATTCTATTAAATTGTAAGGTGGGTTAGATACCTTACTGATGTTCAAGAGCTCAGTTAGAGCTCTAAAATAAAGGTTTTCTGTTTCTGCACAAATGAGAAATGTAATCCTTGTCAATACAGGAATGGGCATATCTACAGTCAGGTCCAGAAATATTGGGACATCGACACAATTC